CGCTGTTTCGGAAATTTATTTAATTTATTTATTTATTATCCCTCTCTTGTGTCAATGTACCCATAGGTACATACAACGTTCGCCACGTCAATTGTGAAATGTTTATAACGGAAATTTCGTGTGTCTGAAGGCAATGAATGGGTGAGTAGAGTCGGAAAGATCCCGAAAAAACTTTGGGAGTATTCTAATGCGCTATTCCATTACGATTTCAACCCTTTATTTGACGATATCTTATTTTGTGACTCTTTTACTGCGTTTGGTATTTCTGTTATCTGATCTACTAACGAGTCAACCAGAGAATGATTATTATCCTGTGTAAATAAAGAGTTTAGGGTGCGGTTCCCCGATAAACTAGTTTTAATGAACCACAAAGAGCATTTGCGCACCTACTTTTCCAAAGTCGTGTGTTTTTCCAAGAGAACAAGATTTCACCCGTCAACAGTTTAACGCATTTATCCCTTCGCTCGGTTTCTAAAGTAATACCGCAGTGCGCTTCCAGTTTGTCGTAGCGTAAACGTGACTGTCCTAAATGGCCAGTTTTGGGGTGTTAGCGTATAAGGGGCGGATATTTCAGATTTGCATAACTGCAAAGTTATATCAATGAAATTACTTCATCTCTGTTCGATTGACATTTTTTCTCTTTGCACTCCCGCTACGTTCTCTGGTTGGACATCAATTTTTTTGCCTAAAACCCGTTTTAGTTTATTTTTATTAGCAAAAAATATCACATACGGAGTAGGTACATGGGATCCCTTTAGAGTCACATGCCACATAAAAGTAAAGCCAGCACTCTTGAACGCATTTTATTGTTATTGCACTATTTCATTTACTTAGCCCTCTACTCGTTTCCTTTTGTTCGCAAGAGTTTCTTTTTGGAGACTAAGCAGCCCTCGCAAATTAACGAAACGAGACGACCTAGAAGTTTCTTAACACGCACAATTCCATAGAGAAACGATTTTCCACTTGCCAAGGAAAAACTAGTGTGGACAGAAGCCATTGAATACCCAATTTCCTATGTTTTTTAGGTGCGGGATTAAATTTTCATCCATATAATAATAATAATAATAATGGATTTTATTGATTAGGAAAAAAATGGTTCCTATACCATAACCAATAGGTTCAGGGTCAGATAAACCAGTAGGTTACCTGTTCTTCCACCTGTACCCCTAGACACATAAAGAATATACTTATACACATAGATTCTACGAAATAAAACAATTAGCAGTTCAATTTTGATTGAAAACAAGCACAAATCTACTAAGTAACTACCTACCAACAAAGGAAAGAAAAACAAAAAAACAAAACAATAATAAAATTATGTTAAATTATCGCTCTCTGATTAATAATTTTTTAATTTTCCGTTTAAAGGCATCTTCGGACAGGGGCAATAACTGTCTGTACACCGAATTATTACAGAATTTGCAGATGTTAAATGAAAACGAGTGTTGAAACATTGCTAAATTGTGCATTGGGATGGAAGCTAAACCCCTGTGCCTCAGATTTAAATGATGCACATCGGTCCGGAAGGTGATTTTATCGTACAGGTACGGTGGTATCTTATAAGTTAAAACTTTTCTAAAAAGTGACGAAGCATGCAGTCGCCTTCTTTCCAACATATTCAACCAACCAAGTCGAGGTAAGGTGTGCGAAATTCTGTCATATTTCCTGATACCAAACACGAAACGTAAGCACGAGTTCTGTACTCGCTGAATTCTGTCACGGTCTTTAGCTAACAAACATGGACCATACAAAACATCGCAATAGTTAAATCGCGACAGAACCACGAGTCACAGAGAACAGTCTTGTGTTTGGTACCAAGAATATGACGACTTGAGTAAAGACTCCTCAATTGACCGTAAGCCGAAGCAATAAGGTTGTCGATGTGTTGGGTAAATCTCAATTTACAATCAATAAGCACACCAAGATTTTTTACACACTTCACCGATGGAATTGAGTCATTGCCAATTTTTAATGCAATTTTATTGTGTATGCCAATGTTGTCATCACCGAACACTATAAAACACGATTTTGCAGGGTTAATTATTAACGAATGATCTTCCGATGCCTTGTGTACATTTTATAGATCATTGATACATGCCAAAGAGGTTTCTAGTTCAGTTCTTGTAAAAAAGTAATACAACTGGGTATCGTCCGCATATAGAGATGGTATTTACAGTGTTTTAGTCCTGTCAACAAATTAAATGTATAAACTGTGTATAACAAGGGTCCTAATATGGAACCTTGCGGAACACCTCTAGACACAGTCGTAAGCTCGGAGTCCACTCCATTTAGAGTTACTCTTTGGCATCTATCACTCAGGTAATTACGTATAAGCTTTAAAGCATTATAATCCAGTCCGATGAATTTCAATATTGAATTGAGCACTTGATATTGCATTGAGCACTTGAATATTGCATTGAGCACTATCGGTACCGGTATTGTATTAAAAGCGTGTAGACATACCTATTAAAAATGTTTAAGAAATTTTTAAAATGTTTCAGAAGTGTGTAGAAAATGTTGGAAACAGAATTGGAATAAGTCATGAATTTTATTTAAAAAAGTAGAGAAAGTCTAACTTTTTGATTTAATCCAAGCTCGAATTCAAGTATATCCTTTACCTACCAAGTACCACCTCTCCTACCACCTTCTTGATAGTGTTTTATTCGTGTGAGTGAAATACGTTTTTCAAGTAAACAGAAGTAGCTCATTTATCCCAAAGGCAGCGTACTTCACTTGCTTCAGTATGTATCTAGACGAGTATAAAAAGGTCATAGGTGACTAGCATAATGAGCATTCTGGAAGGCTGAAATAGTCCTACGCGCGGTTTTTCGCAGGGTTTGAAACTCGGTTTGAAAAAACCCCAACCCGCTGGGCCCAATTGGGTTTTTTCGGGCTTATTCGGGTAAAAGTGGGTAAATAGTACTTTTTCGATCGGAACTAAACAATTCGACAATATGAAAAAAAAGGCGCCAAAATATTGTAGTTGCAAAAATACGCGCAATTAAAGAATTATTATCAATATCAATTATCATACTTTAAAGAAAACTACAAAATTTCTATTACGTTCGAAGATATCCCAGAAAATCCCGAAATTTGCCCATTTCGTTTGTCCTTTTTTCTGATGTTATCTGAACAGATACAAAAAAAACACTCACCTGCATTAAGTAGCATTTTTTATTATGAATACAACGATATGCGATTCAACAGAATGGTGCACCCGTTCACAATGCCTAATCGTGCAAGAATACCTATCGGACAAATTTTCTCCTCGCACGATTAGGGCGCGGGTGCACCATTCTGTTGAAACCACAGTTCGTAATTTTGTTTTTTTTTTGTTTGTCGTATATCGTTGGATTCCTAATAAAAATTGCTACTCAATACAGTGTGTGCTTTTTTTACGGGTCACATCAAACAGAAAGTTGCTGATGATTTTTCCGAAACGAAACGTTGTTTTGAAAATGGCAATGGGAAAGTGTTTTTTTGTCTGTTGAAATCGGCATCTGAAGTGACGCATTTAAGCCCGGTTTCACAAAGGATGATTAAGTTTAATTAATCACTCATTAAAAATATTAGAATGGGAAACATGAGCGTATAATCAAAGGTGGCTAACATTCTAATATTTTTAATCATTGATTAATATTCATCATCGTTTGTGAAACCGGGCAGTTGTGACTTGTCGACTGTCCAGGGCTGTACCACAATGTTGCTCGTATACATCTGACACTTATTTTTGAAATATTCGCATTTGATGAAGATCCATAGGGGACGATACTATGAGTACTCCCTTCCCACATTAACATAAATAGTAAATAGTTATACAGGGTGGTGACTTGCGCAACGCATCATAGGGATTTCAATGTAAAATTTATAACATGCGATTATTGGCTCCCCAAATTATTTTAGAGCAAAAATGTATTAAGGTTTTTTGTAGAAAAAATTTTTTACGCCAATCAACCGTATTAGTTTTCAATTTTTTGCATAATAAAGACGGAAAATTGGAAAAATAAAACCCCCATCTTATCAATAATCTGCGATGCCATGGAATTTTCTAAAACAAAAAGATATCCAGTTATCAATTAGCAGCAGTTCGAAATGGATTTTATGATCGATGGTTACTGTCTTGCATTTAATGGGGACTTATTCGAACATTTATTGTAAATTGTTATATTAGGAAACCGTTTTTAGTAATTTGGTCTTTCTTTATGTTGAATTCGATGTTCTAAATATAATACTTTTTGATAGAATTTGATTTGTTTTATAGCAGACATTCCATGGCATGACGGATATTGGCGTAGTTTTTGTATTATAAAATTCCATGGCATCACAGATTATTGAAAAGATGGGGGGTTTTATTTCTCCAATTTTCCGTCTTTATTATGCAAAAAATTGAAAACTAATACGGTTTATTGACGTAAAAATTTGTTTCTACAAAAAACCTTAATAAATTTTTGCTCTAAAATAATTTGGGGAGCCAATAATCGCATGTTACGAATTTTACATTGAAATCCCTATGATGCGTTACGCAAGTCACCACCCTGTATACATACTTCACGCCGGAAAATGCGAGACTACTCGCCGTAATTTTTGATGCGATATTATGTTAAATATTCATATTCTGAAACAAATGGACCTTCATGGCCGCGTGTGTTTCGCTTTCTTAAAAGTTTAAGAACAGCTCAAGGATCCTTTTTTTTAAGTAAATTTTTTAACTAGGGTCCTAGTTTATGCCAGTTTTTCTGTGGAGTACCTCTCTCATTAAAAATGCCTCCATTACCTTCGAAATTTATTATTCACGGTAGATTAAAAGAAAATTGTATCGATGCGTTTTCTTCGAAGTGCATAATAATTCAAAATTCCCACGTGTTTTCTATAAATATCCGAACTAAATAACGAATCGCCCTCGTAAATAAATCCATAGCTTATTGTTTATGCGGTTTCGCATTATTAGATATTACAATATATTTCGCATTCAATTTGTTCATTTTAATTATTCATTTCAGATTGCTCCCGCAGCGAAGAAACTGTGGGGTTTGGAAACAAAGGACGGAAAATCGCTCGCACTACATCATCTAAATCATCATGACGGCGTTTGGAGGGACCCGACGTGGGCTGCACCAGGTTTGTGAAATTATTTACGATTTTCTTTTGAGTAGGTAATTGCGCGCCTCGTCGAGAAGTGGAAGCGAACTCAATTACCTTCCAAACCGTAACCTTCGAACGCCGAAAATTAATTTGAAAGACAAATTTCCCTGGGATTAACTAAGAAGCCAGCAAAACTTTCCCGCAATTCGATTTTCCACATTTTGCTCTCGTGTCTTCTCCAGTTTCGAAAAAGATTCATATGTCTTTGAAAGGTAATCAAAAATAACGAGAGCATTTTCGATGGATGGTAGACGACAACGACGCCCATAAAAAATATGTGCGTTTATAGAAGGGCGGGTGTGCTTTCGTCGTCATGGACACGCACGGCGTCTGTTGCCGTGGAAACCGTCCCAGCCGATCTGATTTCAATCACAACGTCGTCGTCGTTCTCATTACCGCCGCCGCACCCGTTCTTGCACTCACCCTCGTTCTCGTCTGCTCTTACCGATACGTACTAATAGATTTAGCCCCATGGCGACGCTTTAAAAGCCTCACCTAAATCGGGATTTGATACTTGGCGCCGGCGAATTACGCTCAATTTTTTTTGTTTTCGCTTTGTTCGCTTTAAAAATCGATATTAAATAGCGTAGTAATCTCGTAATTACATAACTTGTTTTGCTTGCCCTATAGGTATATTCATCGCCGTAATGGAAATTGATTTCGTACATAATTGTAGGAGTCGCCTAGACGTTTTGTGTTATGAGTACACGTACTTGGTGAAAATTAATAGTCACCCCCTACCTACACTGCCCTTTTCGCGTTTAAGGTGAACGATTTTATCGCGACGAATCAAGGTTAATTGAACTTATTTTTGAATGTGGGACCTTAACAATGTCCACGTCTAATAAATTCACGTTAAAACCTTGCGTTTCAGGGTTTCGCAAGAGTTATCGCCATGTAAGATTTGTATCATGCTTGGGCAATATCCGAGGTTTTTGCGGCATCCTCGAAATACTGTCGGTTTGTCGTTTTCAAATGATATTAATGGTGCACTTGCTCGGTTTTTGCATCAGAATTAAGCCCAAAGACCTTTGTCTCAATTAGCCGCTCTGCAGCTACCCACTTGACAAAATTTCCATTTCTGAACTCGGATACAAACCAGATGTCCACTAGATAGTGACCCCCACTTCCACCTTCTTCGGATTACCGTTTATAAAACATTAAAATTCTGATCCTGAAATTACCGTCTTTAGCGGTTCTATAGTAAACTTCTTGGATAAAATACTAATTGTTTTTTAATAAAAATCTCCCTTCCTCTCAAAGTAGCTAGTACGAAAAGACAACCAATCAAGCGGAGCAGCTAACCCGGGTTGAAATTCGTTTAGTGCTTCGGATATTTCCGGAATTCCGAACGAATTTCGAAAAAAATTACAACATTCAAAAGGACAAATTCGAGATAGGTACATCAATAAAAGTAAAACTAGAGATAATTGAAAAATCAGAAAATAATAAACTTTCTTTTGGAAACGTTTATTCCCTACACTTCTGTCAAGAACTTGGCACATTTTCTTTGTGGTTTCCCCATTAGAGGAAAAGAAGATCGTCTCCCACGTGATTTGTTTTTCTGTATGTAGTTAATTTCAATTCATGACTTTTTGTATTTTCTGATAGTCATTTGTTATAACGGGCGATCAAAAATGAGTGGTGGTCGAGTCGCCTTTGGAAGTACGATTTCCCATATAAACAAAAATTCCAAAGGTGACTCGACAGCTACTCATTTTTGATCGCATAGTACTATTCCAGTTTTCTGACCTTATCATGCAGTGCCAAAAATTGAAACGCGTACACAAAACCAAATGACTATACAGTCGAGTGCCGGAGCAATTGAGTACACAAAGTGTATTAACCTCCTGGTAGTGGTTTGAGGGCAATTTTTGAATCGTTCTCGCGGTTTTTTAATTTATTTATTGTGAAACTTGGAAAACTTGATGCGTCAATAAATCAATAAAACATAATATGATATTCTAAAAAATACGCATAATAGCGCAACAGTGGAACTTTTCTGTCACGCTATGAATTACGCATGCAAAATTATTTAGCAAATAATACGCTCATGACCCCAAATGTCCAAAACCGTTGGTAAATTTAAAACTGCCGAAATGTAGTTTAAAACTGAAAAAGTTCGTAGGTTTTTATTTATATAACGTTCAATCTCGCTCTGTTGATAATAACTACGTGAGAAAAGTTTGATTTAACCGCTAATTCCGGAGTGTAAACAAAACGGCCTTTCGACATCAACCCATTTTGATGTGTATCGAGACGACTAAAAAAATGTGTATTTATTGTAGATGATCCTAATTGAGATATGCAATAAAAAATAGCCACGGCAAAGGTCGTATTGTATAAGGCACGAAATGTGGGTGTATTCGCGTGCGAGAAAACTATTTTTGTACAGAACGAATTTAATAAATTACGTTATCATGAATTGCTCGTATATACATCGTGTAGATTAGAAATTGATTTTATTTTTAAAACGCGGACTACACCGTCCAAGTAGAAAAGGCCAGTTATTGGGATTTATAAACGTTAATCGAATGATTCATTCTAAATTAACTGTCATTAACTTTAAATTGTTGTATAATTGACTTCTTTACAATTTTTTGTGCCAGATCCTAGGTAATTCTAATGATAAGACTTGAATTTATTGATACATTTATTTATCGACAACGATGCGTAATTTCCGGCGCGAAAAAATTTGTTGACAAAAAATGCGGAAATTCCCTGCAATTGAAAGCTCACAATATTCAAAAATGTACGACGAGATGAGATCATTTCACTTCTATACCGAACACGTACCTATTTGATTTCCTGTCAATACGCATTAATACTTTCGGGTAATCTTCATCTTTCTCAAAAATGGAAAAAGAAACACTTCAATCGTCAAGTACTACTATAGAAAAATGAGTCAGATTCTAATTTTTATTTAATTGGATGATTGGCCGAGATTTACGTCATTTCGATATCTGATCAGGACTGAATTTTGCTTATTCAAGAAGTTTGGAAATGAAATAATTTTATTTTTCTACCTACCACCGTAAGTAATCCATTAACGCAGTCTATGAATAGAACTAATACTATTACTTTAATTTTATTTCTAAAGAATATTCTTGAAGCTTTGTTGGCTAATAACGCGTGTATGAAATGCAGTGGACGGGCCATTCGTATAAGTGTCATTCTTCATTAGAAATTTCGTTTTGAGTTATTGAAACAATAACATTATCTGGCTTATTGTAAACTGTGTACCAAATACAATGTCGGATCATATTCCATACCGATATCGGCGTCAAATGTTAATTAAATTTCATTTTGCCGTGTTTGAAGGCTCTTAATTAAATTGTTAATCGATAAATGTTCTATCGACTGGCTACATGCAATGTTTATTAGATAGCAGCTCGCGCATTGGGTCTCAATTAATTTTCGTTTGTTGTTCTTGATGTGGGCGCATGGAAAAATTGCAAAATCGCCGTTTTTTTAAGCACAATTTCTGACCTAAAGTTGATAACATCTCAAGGCGGACTAAAATTTGGTAGATTTGTAGAAGAAAAATGAATTTAATCAATCCATAGTTGCGCGTTCAAGCTAGAATTCGAATCTATTCATAAATGGGAATATCAAACCGATCTATATCGAAAATAGGAGAATTTTTCGGTCTGTTCGTCCGTCTGTTCGACGTCTTTACTCGAAAAGGAAAATATAGAGCGATGTCGAACCTTCCGCTGCAAGATGGCAGCCGCCCTCAAAATTGGAGTAATGAAGAAATGTCTACAAGGGAATTAGGGAGACGTTGTACTTTAACGTTTTCAATTGCAAATTTATGTACATACATTTACGTAATAAACATTCTTTGTAGACGACTCGAGACGGTACGTGGTAAATTCCAATATGGTATTTAATCACGTTCAAATATGTTACATGATAAGAATGTGTAGAAAAGTTAACCCCCAACAGCAATAATCTTATTGTGGGCATCAGCACTTGCAGCAATTGTATGAGATTTGTATGTTTTCCCGGTTTGCCAAGTATGTTAATCCGGAAATTGAACGAATCACTTCCTTGTGACAGAAATTGAGATCCTGCAATAACTAAGCTGTATAATATTCCGAAGCACCTCAATTATGTGGTGCAAAGGTCGCTTATTTAAGAGCGCTTAAATGGTTAATCTTTTCGGCTAAACGCCATCAGATTTGGTCGTGCAGTTTTTGTCATGTTCCGTTTGCATTTTTCTAGAGATTCCAAGTGGCTTATACTAGCGTCGCGCTTTCTCAGTTTATATTTTCAGGAAAGTATCAATTTCGTTTCTTGTACTGTTGGATCATTTCCGAAAGAACGAGCAAATCATTTTTCTTGTGCACTTCAGGTCAGTCAAACGTTGAAAGGAAATACGAAAACAAGTGTTTGCCGAGGTGGAGTGGACATGTGCAACAGTTACAAGTTAAAAAGTAATCGTAAACGATTTACATAAAGCGCATTTCCACTTGCATTCATTTCCCATTTATAAGATGCAACTTCTGTTAAAATCGTAAAAATCCGGCCACAAATATGAAAGATAGCGTTGCACATGGACAATCCATTTTGGACGTGTTACTTCAATTTCAGTTTATGAGAAGAATTTCATTTCAATGCTTTTCTAAATAAGAAAGTTGGAACTGCGCATGCGCAAACCTAAATTTAAAAACATTTTTAGATTTTCCTTTGTTCCAAGCGCCTAAGTATCAAATTTCACTTAAATGGTGCCATAGATAAAAAAGTTGGCACTGCGCATGCGCAAAAGAAAATTTTGAGACTGGCGCTCGATGATCCTTTATTCCAAGTGCCGATGTATCAAATTTCATTTAAATTCTTCCATAAATAAAATAGTTGGCACTGCGCATGCGCAAAACCAAATTTTGAAATTGGCGTTTGATTTTCCTGTATCCCAAGTGCCTATGTATCAAATTTCGTTTAAATTCTTCCATAAATAAAAAAGTTGGCACTGCGCATGCGCAAAACTAAATTTTGAAATTGGCGTTTGATTTTCCTTTATCCCAAGTGCCTATGTATCAAATTTCGTTTAAATTCTTCCATAAATAAAAAAGTTGGCACTGCGCATGCGCAAAACCAAATTTTTAAATTGGCGTTTGATTTTCCTTTATTCCAAGTGCCTATGTATCAAATTTCATTCAAATACTTTTATAAGTAAAAAAGTTTGCAATTCGGTTTATAAATGGTCGAGATGCGAAAAGGGAACTGTGAATTTTGAATCGATTCGATTCAACTTTTGGCATTGCGTATTATATGGCTAAAGCTATGCCCATATTGAATTTCAAGCAATTCAGTTAATAAGTAACGGAGATGTAAAAGCGATCGAACATTTCTAAACAAAGTTATTGTTCACACGGACAGATAGATGGACAGACAGACAAAGGAACAGACGGACAGACCAGCATGCAGACGACAGATAGCAATGCAAAATTATAAACGATCTCTAGGATCGTTAATAAACGGCAAAAGTGTAAAATTATGGAACATGTAAAAAACGGTTTTTTGTTTTTTTTTTACAATAACTTTTTTTGTAAGCGGTACAGAAAAAAATCCTTCCTTGGTACAAGACTCGACACCATAACGAACCAAATAGCGAAAAAAGTAGAACAATAGCTCTTAAGATAAAAAACTAGTAGCGTCGCAAAACGAGCGGACGGACGGACAAAGTGGCCACAATAGCGCATTTTTTTTTATTTTTGTGGAAATGCGCTAAAAATGAGCGGATTTAAACTATCTGAACTCTACCTATGCATGTTCGATATATTTCTAAAATGAGAGCGTTGTCTAGATCTTGGGGTGAGAATTTTTGGAAATTTTTTACAAAAGCTTGCTCCCAAAAGAAGCATTTTTTACCCTTCGTTTATTTGTCTGCTTTTCGCCTGGCTTGTCATTAAAGTGGTAGATGGTAATAGTCTTGCCCCCCCCCCCTCCTCTCCATAAAAAACTTGTTTTTTGTTTTTTTTTTAATAAAAACCGCGAAACTACGTTTATAGTCCACCGACTTCGCACCGCACGTGGTCTGCTATACATAATATTCAAATGGGTTATTTTTTATTTGTAAAATAGCAATTAAAAAAACATTTGTAACCTCTCACGCCAAGTGTAGTATTGCAATCTTTTATTAATTTTGTTTTTATTTGCATGTTGAATGGGAACATAAATGCACTGATTAAAAAATTAAAATAAATTGTTACCAAAAGTATCAATATTACTTAACCATATTAACATGCAGTTTTACGGCGTAGGTACGAGTAATCACAATGTTGACACTACGCGAGACCACGTTGATTGATATATTGCAGCAGATTCACAATATACATCAAACATGAACGAATTGATTGAGATTTATTTACTAACAATAGTATTAATTTATACTCGTTTGTTTCACGAACATTTATTTAGCAATTCGAGACTGTCTGTCGGATTTTCAATTGTGGTACTTTACAATGTTCTAAAATGATCGAGGAATATCTGGTAATATGCGTCTAGGGGTCATGAGCGCATTAAATGGTTACTGATCTGTTTTTGTGCACCATTATTTCAAATTTGAAACCGTGGAAGTGCACATTGCGACAGAATTTTCAGTCTAATAAGCGTGGCGCAATCAAAAACTCTTAACCTGCACAGTGACGAAACGTGTTCTATCATCAATAAAAGTTTATCGAGGCCATTTGTTATTATTTATTGCAACGACAATGTTCGAATTACACCTAATTACTGCGGAACTAATTAAAGTTTTTGTTTACAACCAAATAAAATAAGGTCTAATCAGAGGTTACAAGATATCATGTACTTTTTCGTCGGAGTAGTGAAACGGTTCCAGCCCTCTTGAATCCTTAGACGCGCTTTCCCACATAATTGAGAGAGCATTATTATTATGGTGACGCTTACGAAGAATCCCCTCGAATGATGAAACGATTGTTTTACTGCACGTTTGCCAAAATTTACATTTAGGGCAGAGAATAAAATTGCACGGTAATAAATGCCAAACACGCTTCCTTAAATAAGCATTTCTTGTGTAATTTAAATTACATCATTAAAATGCATACGTAACAAATTTTCGGAATAAATCGGCGAATGCGCCTTGAAAATAAGCTCCGGAGGCGTAATTACATCTCCTTTTATTTATTGTTAATCATTAGAGTTTATGATAATCGCACGAATAAGGTTGAGTTGTGCCTTCAAGATTTCGCACGCGCGCATGCTTAATATACAAATAAGGAATCAATAAATTAATAATACTCTGGGATCGCGGATTTGATTTACCTCTCTAATTGATAGCTCTGCTCGCCCACTAGATAACTGTGTTGCTAACATTAATTATTTTTGCGCAGGGGATCACGCGGTGTCCTCTCCTTTGGCCATGGGAAGACGAGGAGGATTTGCTGGTGGAGATACTGGAAGTATCTTATCGCCGCGCGGATCCGACACCGGTGGCTTAGGTGTAAAAATGGTCGAATACGTTTTGGGGAGTTCGCCCACAAATAAAGATAATATAGGACTGGAACCTCGAATAAGAGCATTACACTTAGATGACAAAGATAAGGATAAACCACAAAGTCCAAAAGAGGAAGTAAACGGCCAACCTGTACAGAATGGACAATTATCGGAAGACGAAAAAGCGTTTAAGTAAGTTGCGATTATTTTACTGGGCTTTTGTTGCTACAACCAACAATAATACATCCTCCAGAGTAAATACTTTGTACAGAAGGTAATGAAAGTGTTGTCAGGAAAACGATTTCTACTTCTACACAGCCTGATCTTGCTAGTCTGGTGCTCAAGGTCTTTTCGGCTACCTTGGGTCGTGTCAATGACACGTGCGTTGATCGCCGGTTACCAAGGTGACGATTCTCTCCGCCTCTGCGCACTGATGTTTGGTATTTAAATTTTAAATGGGACTACTACCGCGCCATCTGTTCAACAGTCGCTTGACTCATGTAATGATTTTGCGGGAGCGCTGCGCTGAACTGCCAATAGATTGCTAAAGAGGGAGCTAGCGGTTGTTTTGTTTACATTTCGTAGTAAAGGTGATTGAATCTTTCTATTTTTGTTTTAGTATTTATATCTGCATTAATTAAGTCATTTTAATTATTGAACTTGGTGAATCTGCAAAACACAACTATTATGTTTTATTTCTGAGATTACACTACTATCATTATGAGGTTGCTTTATGGCCCAAACATACCTTCTCAGAATATGTCATCAGTTTAATATTCTTCAAACAATTCACAACTTGGTCTAATTGACACTATTTTTGAATATAATTACTTTTTTGCTCTGCATTTAAATTAGTTGAAACCCTCAGTTTCTCTAAAAAGCTGAAGGCAATACACATAGGTAAATTTTGCTAACTTGAAGTTAATTATTAAGTAAGAAGTACTCAAAATTTTGTTTATAAGCTTCGTAAGTTTCAGAAAGTTTATGAATTTCAGTTAATGCATACATATTCATGTCCTTGTAAACCTTTAATCAAGTCAAATTTGTAGGATGAAATGCAAATTTAAATGAAAGTAATTGGGAAACTTTTCTCAGGCCTATGTTTCAGCAGTTACACAGTGGTGCTCTTCAATTGTTTAATCTTCTATTTATTACAAGTCACTTTAAAATTTTCACTATGAACACTACATTCAAACTTATTGGCAAACACTGTCATGCCATCAGTATGACCACCTTTTTAACATTGTATATAATCTTTCATGCAATGGACAGAATTCCTTGTCTTAATGCGTGAGAGCTCGGCCAATGGCCACTTTTACTTAGTTTACTCACTGCAAAAAGTAATCGTACTAATGAGTAGGTATGTTAAAAATCCATGCAATATTGAGCAATGTGGGATAAGTATACAAATTTGAAATTAAATTTTGAGTTTTTATGTCCAGCACCAGAATATTTGTTGATATTCCCTAACATGTTTGCATAGAGCTAAAAAGGTGAAAACACGTACTTCAATAAGCTAAGGTTGTTATATGATGATGCGTTTTACGAAAATCTTAGGCAAAGTGTGTTGCAATAATTGTAATAATTGATTATGGTGTTTGTATACACAGGTCATCCTTAGTAGGCATAATTATGCTGCTTAATATTGTACTATTGGTCAGGTTCCACTTAGTTTTAGATATTAATATGCCGTATTATACTGGTAGACTGCTGAAAGTCTTATACTCGCTTTAAATTAAGCACGAAATAAGGTTATAGTCCCTATGCAGTCATAATATGTTTTTCCTCTAGTCCTACGTGAGTGGTAGAAGCCAGCAATGGTGAACGACGAATACTTTTCAAAGCACTTATTCATCGGCAGTGTTGAACAAAGCACAAGATGAATCGAATTTTGAAGCGGCGTGGAAGATCAAACTATCTGATCGAAGACTGATGAATGACTGACTGAAATGCATCAAATATATTGGATGATTTTGTTCCATATCCACAGAATAATGGGTAGTCTAAATTGGACACTTTCTGATGGAAACACTCTTTATTTTAACAGATAGAAAAAAATGGACTTAGGCAACTTTAAAGAGAAAATCACTGGTGCAAACAGAATTCAGCTACCTCTAGTTGTTTGACCGTTAGCGGGCGATTTTAGTTGATTTAATGCCCCATAACTTTCTTATTACTAAAGATAATTGATTTTGGCCACATCTTTCCTAGAATACTTTTTTATGTAGTCGCATACACAGTTTTTATACAGCATGTTTCGTTTTTTATACGGCCCCAAATTACATTTTTCATAATGACCACCCTATATATTTTGGAGATTTTTAAAAGTGCGTAAAATTTCACTTGTTATATTGATATTAAATATTATTTGCAGAATAAATGCAAAATAGACTTTTCCTCCTAGTTTCTTCTTTTCTATTATTTGTTTAATTGTGAATATATGATTCTGCATTGATCTTCCTTTCCTGAATCCGCTTTCCGTATCTGTAAGGGTTTGTTCTGTGATTCCTGTCAGTTTCTTATTTAGTATTTGTTCATAAATTTTCATCACAGCACGTATTAATGTTATCTCTCTGTAATTGTTACAATCTTTATTATCACCTTTATTATGTAGGGGCACAATCGCACCTACCTCAATCGTGAGGTACACTTTCTTCCTCCTATGCTTTGGTATATATTGCTCTTAGCTACTCTACTCCTGGGAAAAGCTCATATTTTTTATCATTTCTTTGTTGTCATGTCTGGGTGCTTTATTTCTTTGATTGTTGCTTCAATGTCTTCCAATTGGTATTATTTCTGTAACATTTTCATTTACGCATTTTGTATGCTGTAGAACTTTTATCATTTTCTCCGTCTAGCATTTGCTTCTCATTTTTAATTTTCTCGCCATAGCGGTTTTTAATTTCCATAGCTATGATCGTCTTTCCCTTCTTGAGGGATTTGAGCTTTTTGTAAAATAACTTTTGATGGTTTTTGCACTTTCTAGCTTTTCTCTAAATTTGTTCCAAGCAGTTAGTTTAGGTGTTATAATAGTATCCTTCGACCTTTTTTGTTCTTTGTATAAATTCTAGTTTTCGTTACTTCTGTTTGCTAGAAATTTTTTCCTGCCACTTTCTCCCTAATATCGTGTGTCTACCATGATGTTTGTTTATGTTTGTTAGAATGCTTGCATCTCCGCATATCTCTCTCGAGCTCGCTACCGTCACATTCTTGAATTTTATCCATAGTTGTTGTAGTGAGGTGTTTCTTATGTTGCCAGCTGTTCCTGCCATTTTTACATGTGTTGTCTCATTATATTTTTTCGCAATGTTCATGCTAGAAAGTTTATAGGTGTTTCCTTGTGATTTTTCACTTTTTTATTCTTGCTACCAATAGATAGTGATCAGTTTTAATGAATGGGATTTAGCCAAATGTAGATTATGAACAATAGCAGTCTTATTTCCATTTCATTGAATTGATACCATTTGTTTCGGATTTTCCTTTTAATAGTCGTGACCATGATTATATGACAATCGAATTTTAAAGAAATCTAGTGACACTAATCCGTCACCTGTTATAGATAATTGGGATAATTGAAAAATGGTTTCACCCATGAAGATTTTAAAATTCAATTGTTAATGGTGAAATAGACAGAATCGCAGCACCTGCTTGCCCTGCATTCATTGAGGGATATCCACATCGCTCACATTACAGGTGGGATCAAAATCCTTTTTTGAATCAAGAAGTACTGGAATTTTAATGTGTTTTGTGCGTTGAAATATAACAAGAGTTTGTGTTTCCATGTGTATCAAGAAAATTTGAATGCAGAACGTTATTTGGAAATTTTACGTTATGTTGTTCCTGCAACAGAAGTTGTGCATCTGAAGGAACATATTGTAATACCAACAAGATGGTGCCCCTGCACATAATGCATTTCTGAGTTTTTAGATACCGCTTTTCCAGGGAATTGCATTGGAAAATTGGGCCTACCAAATACATACCCTAATTCCCTAATATATTAATACAGGAAACTGACGTTGGGAACCGGTACAGTGCCACGACGTTGCGGTAAGGACTGTCAACAGTAAAGTGGTCATACTTGATTTAAACTCTACTGATGATTTTACGTGCTTTGTTTGCTATTGTTATGGATAGATTGATAATATTAAGGTATTTAGTAATATCACATTATCTTAAATATGAAGTAAACTTAGTAATATAATTAATTTACTCCTTAATTTGTCGATATTCCACACCGTGCCGTGTAGATGGCGCTTTTACGTGTCTCTTATGTAAATGCAAATAGTAGCGAGTTTCCTGTATTAATTAATATGTTGAGGTATTTGGGCCTACTCATTCCCCCGACCTTTCCCCATTAGATTTCTGGGTATAATAAAAAAGACTCAGTTTATGCCAGGCTTCCCACAACAAGAGAAGTGCACTACAAGTCATTGAATCACAAGTGATACAAAACTCTACAAGAGAGAATTTAAGAAAAAGGATTTAATTGCGTCAAACACAAAAGCGGTCATTTTGAGCATATGTTGAAGAAGAGAGGGTTGTAAAATACTTTGATCTTATTTTCAAATAAGTGTGTTTCCAATTAGCTGATCACTGCTACCTTTTTTTATTAATGAATTAATTATTTAGATTAGAATCAATGATATCATTGATAAAGAATTATTATTCAATGATGATATTAAAGAATTCTTTCCTTGATTTGTTTAAAATTCGATTGTCATAAAATCATGGCCGACTACTAAAAAGAAAATCCGAATAAAAATTGAAAAAAATGTATTCAATAAAATGGGAATAAGTGGGGAAACTGTTAAAGGTAGCTATAGGAACAAGCAACATCAAAATATCCCAATTTCTTTCGACATTTACAACTGACATGTCTGCTTAAATTGGGTTGGAAAGGCTAAGGCTTTAAAAAGGGCAAGAAAATTTTTTAAATAAATAGTTGGAAGGAAGGCCACTACACTTTTTCACTTTTTAATAATAAGCATTTTTTTGGTAAGATAACAAAATTAAGAGATAAATAATAAAATGAGCTCAGGTGCAGTATCGCCATTGTTCAGTTATGGTATTTACTTACAGCCTACTTATCATGTAATATGAGCTTTTGTTTTGATTGTGGCATCCTGCAAGCCTGCAATAGAAGACGGGGCGCGTGACGGCACCTTATTCTTGTTTGTAAAAGCCGCCAACGA